GTCAGCTAATCATATGGCAAGTCTAGAAAGCAACCTTATCATTCTTGTAGCACTCCTATGTTTACACAGCCATGTTTACATAGGAATGCACAGAAAAGGTACTCGGATTAGAAATAGCAGTTAGCAGTTAGACTTATACCGCTTCATAGGTCTTTCAGCCCTCTCTAAGCGGTTTACAGAGTCAGCATATCGCCCCCACAGTCTGGGTCCTCATTTCACCCACCGCAGAAGGATGGAAGGCTGAGTCAACCTTGAGCCAGTGAGATTAGAACCGCCGAACTGCAGATAACAATCAGCTGAAGTGGCCTGCAGTACTGCACCCTAACCACTGCGCCACCTCGGCTCTTCTGCAGAACTTCTGTGATGTTTCATGTAGTAACAACAGGCATTATTAATAGTATGTAGCTAATAAAATATTTTGTTTATTCTTGGGATACTATGGCATTATGATCTCTATAACTATAGTAAATTAAAAAAAACCTGCACTAACCTTCGCGTTCAACTCGTCGACAATAAAGTGACATAAAGCTGCTTTAAAGAAGTAGTCCTTTGCGCTGTGCTTGAGCAATGGATTATCCATTGTACTTGTAGCAATCTAGGGGGATAAAAATTACATTTATAATTGATAAAGTATGAAAAAGCAGAACATGGTTGAAAATAATATTTTAGTTCCTTGAGAATGCCTGTTCTCATATTTGATATTTTCCCACTAGATATTTTCCTACTACAAAAGGACCCGATTTCCTAAGTTCCCAGGTGTCATATTGTTCCTTAAATTTCTCTGTAAGACCTGGCATTTTAAATACTTTTTAAATTTTATAACACATTTCCCCACAACGGGGATTTACATATATTGAATCTCATGCACTTTATTGCTTGGGAAAAGCTCAAACAAGCAATAGAAATCTTCAAGCATTTCATCCTAGCCAGGCATTCTTATCACTTCATCACTTACATTCATACTAGTAGGTTAGAAATTAGATATTAAAGCAGTTTGTAAGGATAACTTACAATTTTCAGATTTTAAACATTGAAAATACTGCATAATAACAACTCCCATGATTTATTTCCTGCAAGAACCCTTTATTTTCTTTGGCTCCAATTACCCAAAGCAATAATCGTGCTTCAACTCTTAACACTAGAAATCTTTTTGCCTGAATTATTATGCAGATACATGTAATCCAGATCTTCTTTCCACATATACCTTGAAATGATGCACTGTATGTTGTAAACTGAAATTTCTCTGACGGTTTAAATTAGAAGAAAATCAGTCCACTTGCTTCACTTGGCAAACTGCAGGAGGTTAGTGCTTTGGGTTCCCAGTGAATGTAGCCAACTGACCAGTTGAAAAAAATGATCTGCCCCCTGGAAGCTCCATTTCAGCCTGCAAAGGGCCGGGGGAGGCCCGTAGAGGCCCAAACAGAGGGGAGGATTCACCCTTCGGAAGCTCCATTTCAGCCAGCAACGGGCCAGGCGAGGCCTGCGGAGGCCCAAATGCAGCATCAGAGGGGCGCACATGGCTGAGAGGCTGCAGGGGAGACGGCTTGCTAGATCTTCACAAGATAAGTGATCCAGTGCAGCAGGTTGGGTGGTGGTGGGGAAGCAATTGGGGGGAGCATGAAGTATTTCTGTGGGTCAGGGAGGCCTTGGGTGGTCTTAGGCAGGTGGTCTGTTCCATCACTAGCCCCCCCCCCCCCATGGTCTTCCCCACCCTGAAATACTTCATGTGCACTTAACGAGCCTCACATTCTATTAGCGAATGTGTGGGCAAAAGGAGATTCACTCCCACGAATCCTCGGATTACAAATGGAATGGGCAGGCTCCATTACATTTGTAACTCGAGGATTACCTGTAATTAATTTTAGTTATGAAGATGAAATTTCTTAAGAAATGTTTAGTGTCTTAAAATGAATGTTAAAGAGTTTTCCTTTTAAGGTTAAAGAATTTAAAAGATTACATAGATTTTTGTTGAGATAAATGTTGGCAGTTTAGAAAGATCAGTAAGTGTAAGTAGAAATATCTATCATTTCCCACAAGAGGAGAAAAAACTGGATTTGGTTAAGAAGGCAATGTAAACTGCTTTAAACAAAGAGATTTTATTTGGTCTTGTTTCTTTTTGGTATATCGCTTCTGGTTGTTATCCTTGAAATAGGAAAAAATGAAATATAGAATTTAGTTTGAAGATTTAATAATTTTATAGTTATAGAACTGGCCTGTAATAATTATAGGTATTGTAAAAAGTTGAGGTTGTAAATGTATTAGTATTATACTGTTTGGAAAGTCGGAAGTCAACATCTTTTGCAATAGTGGAGTAGCTCGGGTATAGGATGAGGGTGAAGGTTTGTTCTCCGAGCTTGTGGGTTAGTTTCCAAATGTTTTGTCACCAGGCTAGGTAACATCTTCAGCAGAGTTTAGGGCAGTGGTGGGTTTCAAAAATTGTTCGAACCTACTCTGTGGGTATGGCCTCCTTTGTGGGAGTGGCTTGCCCCCCATGTGACCGGGTGGGAGTGGCTTGCCCC